AGTAGTACGTTACGTTACGGTTACGGTACGAACGACGAACGAACGTAAACGTAAACGTACGTACGTTACGTTTAGTTCGTACGACGACGACGAACGTAAGACGTACTCTCTCTCTCTCTCTCTCTCTCTCTCTCTCTCTCTCTCTCTCTCTCTGCGTAAGTAAAGGGAAGAAAGAGAAATAGGGAAAAGAGAACAGAGAAACCTGTTGAGAGAGAGGGTTGACGTGACCATGAATAAAGCACCAGAGAAAATGAAGTTTTTGGGGTGGCTTGGCATTTACAACGAAGCCTTTAAGACCATGTGCTCATGCCATAAGATTTTCACCCAATGACCCTAACTCCAATCCTCCCCCTCTCCTGAATTGTCCTCAGAGCTTGGCCACCCATTGGCATCAGTTAATAGAAACAAACCCTAGAAACCCACCTTCACTCTCATAACAAAATCCTTACAAACTCGTCTTTAAGTGGGTCTCTTTCCTCCTCTCCAAAGCTTTCTATCTCATGCACAATCTCATTATCCCTCCACCTCCATTGTATACAGAGTAGCCTGCAACTCACCTCCCTCATTTTCTCTTTCTTCACAGCTGTTGTTTGATAAAAGAGAAAGTATATGTCGCAGGGTTCATAATCTGACGCTTTCTGCAACTTATGTGGGGATTCAGCTGCTCTTTAATGGGATTGTTGTGCGTGGGGTAGGTAGGCACAGAAATTTTTATTTGGGGTTGGTAATTCAGCTTCTCCTTGGTGGGGTTCTTCAGTTTTTGGGTTGACGAATGGGGATTCAGCTGCTATTTCTTTTGATTCGCTTTGATAGCGATCAGCACACACTTAGTTTGGGAAGATTGGCAGGTACGTAATCGTACCTACCAAAAAAGAAAAAAGTAGAAGTATATGGAATATACTAATGTTAGCCTGAGTAGTATATCTGTGATAGAATTACTTATCATTCAAAATGAGCCCCTAGATTACACCCTAATCTTTGTGTGATGACATTTCATCTCCTTAAAGAATTTTAGGTCCTATTCCTTGGTCATGTATATTGCTGATTCAATACAAGTCTAAGCCATCCTATTCGGCTTGTTTGACGCTCGATCCCATCCATTCTCTCTACCTATACACCCACACACCTCCCATCTATAATAGTCCATCATCGAATCCTTAGTCCATCCATACCACCATCGTTAAAACCTCTCCACTAAAACATCCACATCTCCAATTAACTATAAACCCACTTGCAAAGGAGCCATAGCCTATTACATAGGTCATTCAACACGGCATTAAGATACCCTGTGACAACCAAACCTCCAAAACTAGTAGGACAGGAAATCTGCAGCTGTTTCAGTATAATCCTCATGTTAGAATTCAAGGGTGTAATTTTCTTTCTTTATTTATTTTGGAAACTTTGTAAATGACAGGGTTTTCATTATGCCCATTATGTAATTACATGGAATCATGAGAAGGCCTCTTAAAGCTCAGCCAACCAAAACAAACATTTGCTGAACTAGATGAAAATATATCAAATGAACTAGAAACAAATAACCAACAAAGATCTACAAGATGTCCTTCCAAATCCAATTAAACGGAATCTAATGCAAACTAACAATCAACTGAATATACTTTCATCATACTCCCATCTCAAGTCCCATTAGAATCAAGAGGCACAACAGTACACTACCGAGAGGTAAGGGGAATCTCCTTGTGATAGAGCAGAAGCATGTCCTGTTGAAGTATGTGGTTGAGGCATCCCTAATAGAAAGAAAGATGTGAACCATGTTCCCAGTGGCTTGATCAATCTGATAAAGCACACGCCATCTATTTTCATTATCCAGTTGTTTGTATTTAACAACAGGAGAAAACCAAAGTCTTTAGAGTTGCTAGCCCAGAAGGTTGAGGTCTCTGGTGTACTCTGCGGGGGCTATTGCACTTCTCTGTCTCCCAAAAGATGCAAAAGCTTTTTTTCTTCCAAATAGCCAATGGGTGGCTAAAATGGAGGCTCTCCAAATGAAGGCCAGCCAGCAGGTAGTGAGGGGAGAAGTAAGCCAAAAACAGATGTGGAGTACTGAGTGACCCATTGCCAATCGCAGGCTTGGAGATGTTTGTCCCACACAATCAAAGCGTAGACGCAGTGAAGAAATGTGTGGCTGTGTTTCATCATCATTCCCCACAAAGAGAACATTCATCTGCCAAGGTTGTACCCTCTTCTCAGTAAGTGGTCCAAGGTTAAGGGTCTATCGGAGATCATTGGGGGGGATTGTGTGAAATGGTGGGCTAGAGGTATGAGGGTCAAATGCTTTATAGAAAGAGGCATCTGTGAAGTTGCCTGAGTGTGTCTTGGCACAGACCACTCTGTCATAGCCAGACCAATTGGTAAAAAGGGAAACCAACAAACAATGTAAAGCTAGGATGTAGCCATACTCAGTGTCATGCAGGGGGCTCCTGAAGGTGGGAAACCAGGCATGGTTTTGGGCAGTAAGTTCTATGAATTGTACCATAGCGGCATTGGGACAATTTGCACTAGCACATCTTCCCTACCTCTCTCTATCCAAGGAATTAAGACCTCACAATTGTGGCCTTAATTGATGAAGGTTCCTTTGGTGCCCCTTCCGGTCCAAAATTAAAGCCTTACAGTCACTAGCCAATATGCTTTCCTCCCATGCCTTTCTCCATCATGGTTTGATAGTCCAATGCCTAGGCATAGGTCTGTAAATGGATCAGGTCAAGGTCCTCTTGACCCTATCCCAGCTGCCCAGACGGTCCACCTGGACCTGCACCCAGACCCCGATGAGTACAGATATACCGGACCAAACCCAACCCAGAGCAGGTAGGGTGGACATACTGAGTCGCTCCCAGACTCGCCTTAAAATCCCTCACTCTCAAAAGCTTACATCCCCAACATACTGCTGAGTATTCAATTTATATGGATAGTCATGCAGGAACACTTATTTGACATAATATATAAATATATAAGGTGAACCCACTGGGCTACCAATTCAATCCTAAACCTTTGTAGTCTCTCCCCCCCAAAACAAGCGTAGTTAAGAATCTATTTTTGGTTTGTTTTTTATTTATTTTCTCTTTCTTGGGCTAAAAAAGTATAAGGATTCATCTCTCTCTAGCTCAAAGCCAATCCGAAATTATCAGGAGCTCCACTAGTACAAAAAGCAACAGGAAATGAATAAAACAAAATGATTAGAGTCGGGGAAAAAAAACCTTGGGCTCTCATTAAAAAAAAAAAAAAACCCACCAACAAAAGAATCATTAAAAGACTAATATTCAACATCAAAAAGAAACAATCAAAATAAGAAAACTAACAAGCAATCTATCCCAAAAAAAAATCCATATTTAATATCAAAATGAAAAGTTGAAATCCCCCATAATCAAAAAACCTCACATCATCCAATAATATAAAAGAAAGGAAAATAGACATATACCCCCCTCTCAAAAATTATTATCCCAAATTACCCCCTGATCTCATAAAACAAAAACAGACGTTTAACCCCCTCCTTACCTTTCTCATTGCCAAATTACAGAATTTATCGTTCTTCTTTTTCTAATAACCTCATCATAAAAATCGAATTTCTGATGCCTCTTTTTAACTTACTATGAGGTTCACGAGATGAGAGAGAGAGAAGTATTCAGTGAAGATTGCTAGAGAGAGAGGGACGAAGAGATCCACAGGTGAGGAAGAAAGAGAGAGAAGGAGAGCTTTACTAGGACTTAAGATAATAGTGATTACGAAAATAAGAAGGGTAAACTATGTAATTTGGACAATAGAAAACGTAAGGCCGGGGTTAAACCTCCTTTTTTGTTTAACTTTGGGGGTTCCATGGGATATTTATAAAACTAGGGGGTTAGGATTACAATTTTAGAGAGGTAAAACACAAGCTATGCAGATCCTACTGTTTTCCATCAAAAATCTTAGTGTTCTTGCATTGATTGTGTGTTTCTCTTAAAGAAGGTTGTCAAGAATCCAAGGATCTGAAAATACAAGGAACTGGAAACACCTATGACTTCTTAGGATATTACCAAATAAATTCCAGTTTTGTTGAAATAGAACTTCGATTTATCCTTTGAAGTTTTCCAAGAAATTCCCCCAATCAAAAGCTTTACTTGATTTTGATCCATGGTTTCTTGTTATGGAATTGCAAGGATTTCCTCCTATCTCTTTTGCAGATTAGGATTGGAAGAGTAGAGAGGAGAAGATTAGAGAGGGAGAGTATAGCGATATGGGTTTGGGATGTATAGAATCCCTGTTTCCACAATCATCTCTCTCTCTAAAGCAAATGCAAAGGGAAAAAAGAGAGAGAGAGAGCATGCAACCAGTGTTTGAAAGGACAACAGAAGAAGCATAGAGAGAGAAAGAGACGGACTATAATATTTGTCGTATATTATAACATATACATTCTATATTCATACATACACAAATACATGCATGCATACATACATACATAACATACATACATACATACATACATAATATACATGCATACATACATCACTTTTCTTCTGTATTAATATACACATATATAATTACTTTTTTCTATTTTATATATATATATATATTGTAAATTTGTAGACCACTTTTTAAGGGGTATTAAGGTCCAGCCGGTTGGGTTATCCCTAGAACCGGATTGGAGAACCGGACCCAATCCAATTAGCTGTTAGGTCTAGGTTTCTATAGCAAAACCTGGACTGACCCCTGGATCCTCTTATAAGGTCCAAACACAGACCTGGGTCAGGTTGCCCCAGCAGGTTGCCCGACCATTTGCCAGCCCTACCTAAGCATAGAGGAACCACATTATTCCATCCCAAACTTCATGGTTAAACTCTACTGAGGTAATAGTTCTTAGGAAATAACATAAATAGATGACAAATAGCATCCATGCGTCAAGGATAACAAGGAGCATTATGTGGTCATTAGTTTTGACTACACGTAAATCAAAGAAATAGATTGAAACACTGAAGCACAAATAGCTGATGTGCTAACTATACAAAAGAACAAACAGGTAAACTGTATCAAAAAAACTAAGACAAATGTAATCCGTACATTATAAAGAAGCATTGTGCTACACAAAAATAGATGGCAATATTATAAGTTTCCGAGGCATAAGGATACAGTAACATTCACATATTCTTTGACACCAATATATTAGCATACCGTGGCAAGGAAAAACTTGCGATCATAATGTGCTAAAGAGCTTCTCACACATGAACCTAAACTAACTAAAACTGCATCTGTTCTCAATAAAATAGCCAAATTTACTCGTGCAATATTTTAGCTTTAGGGATAGAAGACTATATGTTGCCCTACTTTCATAAAGAGCACATGGCCAAAATTCTTTATTAATCCATAAGATTCATCTGAAAAGGAAAAGTTTTAGACAGATCTGAGTATTGGACCACCAATCAAGCAGCCAATGTATCGAACACAAAGCTTTCCATATTTCTCAGATATGATGAATTGCATGCCTACATATAATGCTAGAAATCACAAATTACATATTCAAACACAACTGCGATACAAAGGAATAAACAACCTTCTTAGTAATTAAACTAAAGCCAGAATGATACCTTAAAATAATGAATTGCCCCACGGAGAAAACCACCATGAGAAGGATCATGAAAATGGCCAATATTTACAACCCAAACTAGGACACAAATTCCTGCGATAACCTAAAAAAACAAAAATGACAAATATCACCTCCAGTAGAGGAACAAAGGTTGAAATAACTAAAAGTACAAACATAACGAATTTGAGGATTTCAACATGAATTCCTTCATTGGCTACGGTCATAACAATATCAAATCAAAGCACTACTTTGCTTTTTTCAACTAAAACTTCACCAGAGCCAAGATATCAGCATGAAGTTTCCTCTGTCCTATGAGGCTCAAACCCTGAACATGTATGCCCAAGCTTTGGCTTGCAATTAGAATCCATGATGACACAAGTTTCCCATGATATCAGCATGATGTTGTTCTTACAATGTATATCTTTATGGCCATCATCTTATTCAAAGATTCACATACTACACAGTTGCTAACCCTAAATCAATATCATTTTATCTGGTTGATAGCTTCTCTTTTTTTTTCCTTTTTGTCTTTTTCAGAAGTTCATCTGTTGGAAAGATGATTATAATTGATGAGTCATGATCAGGTGAACATAGCTCATGTGGATTTTGGGTAAGTCAAGATCACAGCTGCCTGAGAATCTCAATTGTCGGTCTGCGGTACATCTCAAGGCAGTATCTAACTGATTGGAGAGGCCATCTCTCATCCATTTGATAAAGCCAGATACACAGTTGAGATTCTAAGGCAAGTTCAGATCACCCAAGCCCAGGTGAGCGTAGTTCATCTGTTACATTCCCTGAATTTGTTTGGGCCGATTAATGAAAGCTAAAAGAATGTAAAAGTGGGTCATAGCTGATCACCTTTGCTAAAAAGGTTCCAAATTCATCAAGCTTTTTCTTCAGAGGTGTAATTTCCTGCAATTTTAGATGAAAATTAATAAACCCTACCAACACCATTGTCACTAACAAGACAAAAATCTAGAAAGGAAATATTTCAATGTCTTCCATATTTTATGATTTGTTATAAGAAGCACGAAGTTCAAAGTTAAAGCACAGAGACAAGGCCAAGGAGAGCTGACATCTTCAGTTCTTAGCATTGCATCACGTATGCTTCCCATTGCAGTATTAGAACCGACACCCACGACAACAGCTCTTGCTCGCCCAGCCACAACTACAGTCCCCTACAAATCAACAAGAGACAAATAATAAGCAATTTATCACAAAATGAGCTTCCAAGAGCTAATTTATTATGATTAATGGAAATGATAAATGGTCTGCCAATTTATTAGAATATGTATTTGATGGATATCCACAGCTTTCATTTGTTAAAGAAGCCTTTAGTAGTGTAAACTATGAATTGCAACATATAAGAACTACAACATAAATGCATGAGTACTGATTCTTTTTTCATTCTCAGGTAACGCTGCCCTATTCTTTTTTTATTTTCAAAAAAAAAACACTTTCCCATGTGGCTAAGTGTTTCTCAAAGTTCTTTCAATTAGGATTCATTTAGTATGGACCGGAACAAGGAAACCAAATATATTAAAGATGCAAGGAAGATTGATAACACAATTTTTTTAAATTTTTTTTTTTGAGGAATGTGATAACACACTATTATTACCGAGAAAAGTATATTTGTCTTGTCCTGGTACACAGCATTTGTTGTCACAGTTGAATCCAGCTCTTTTGCAACAGAGCAGCTCTCACCTGAAATCAATAAAGGCTTCATGAATCCAAGTAAATAAACGCATGCTCATCATTAATGGCCTTGGAGAAGGGAAGTCATAAACATTTGTAAAGTAAAAATTGACTGAAATACAAAGTATGAAAATGAGTTATTGAGGGCATCAGCAATTATGGTTTAGGCCATCAACTAAATATCAGTGAATCGGCAACTATTTTCACTCACGACAAAGGATCTTTGCAATCCTGAATGGGTACAATTCATCCAGTAGGTTTCAATACTGCTCAGTTTTTTTGGATGTAAATGGCAAAGACCCCATACAATTTCGTAATTGAGTGGAAGGCGGGGTGCAATGGAATATCATAATCTGACACTACAAACCTGTAAGTATAGCTTGGTCAACGCGCAACTGATTACTGAACATTTCAATCATCCTCATGTCAGCAGGAACTTTACACCCCACTGGAATCATGAAAAACCAAAACTTGCAACTCAATCTCAAACTAAGTACCATACTTTAAAGAAACATACAGTTTTGAATTCTAGATTGTTGTCAAAATGGAATTTTATATGGCAAAACTAACCTCCAACGTCCACAATATCTCCTGGTACAAGTTCTGTAGCTGGTAATATGGAGAAGCAACCTGAATGTTGCAACAAATATCTCATGAACAAAGACGACGAGTAGAACAATTTCACAGAATAAAAGTGGATCAGACATGATTTCAGGTGCAGATTGAAACTGAACAAATAAATGCAAAAAGAAGGACACAGAAGCACAATTTCTTTTGGTTGGTCAGTTTCGTCCCTAAGAAGGGAAACTTCGAATTTTCAAGCTCTATCATACAAACCAGTGTCACATGTAAGTAGCAAAGTACAGGAGCAAGCACACATATTGATAACTATTAATAACTAGTGGTTGCATTAACAGGATAGTAGACCAAGAACAGACTTCCAGCCAAAAGATAGACCCCTGCTCTCCCTAGGCCTCATAGCTAGATTCTCCCTCCCAGACATGACTCAAGGGGCATCTAAGAATGGGCCCTAGTGCTTTGGAAGTCCAAGCTCGTTACTTAATAATCCTTCTCGATGGCTATCATCTGCTCTCCTTTCCTTCTTGCAAACTATGTGAAGAAGTTGCCCATTGAAAGGCCTATCCTTCAGAAAAGATAACTTTTTTCCCTCCTTAGACCCCAAAGTTCACTGTTGTTCACCCTCATCATTTTTCAATCCACGTACTTGGAATATCTGTCCATTTGTGCCACCCTGCTGTCCTCCAGGAAATTAAAGTTCTAAATGGCCCCCTTCATTTCCTCCGGTTTCTATCTCCATCCTCATCCTTTCCTCCTCCTTGGAGGACATTCCTACATCTCATACCCTCTCATTCTGTAAACATGCCAATTCCAACTCTGTTGACCTCCAACCTGCGGGACTCCCTAGTTGTCCTGCTTCCATTGATGAGCACCATCCCTCTATGGCCAAGGATCAATTCCATATTCCTCAGAGCTATGATCCTTCTTCATCTCCTGATCATGTGCCTTGGACCACAAATCCACCGACACAAGTGCAACCTTGGGAATGGTTGCCTCCACAGTGATCTGTGGACACATGGCTCCACCATTGTCTTAATGTTACCCCCCTCCTGCCTTGAGCTCTGTGCCCCTCCATCTTTCCACTCGGATGTCTCTTCTACTGACATCTCATTAAAGGCGACCTTCAACCTTCAATGTTGGCCAGCCATTACCCACCTCTCTCTCACATGCTGATGGCATAGGCTCCCGCCCCCCCGCCCCGCCCAAAACAAAAACAAGAGACCTCTAACTGTACCATCCTTCTCTTCTCCCACTAATCACTCGCCTGTCACCCTTCTATCCTTGCCCTCCCTTCCCTCTATCTGAGGTGAGTTGACTTCACCCCCTCATCCTCCCCGAGATGATCATCACTTGCCGCCGCCTCCACCTTCATCCCAATCACCTCACTCAGCTTCAACCCATGTTGATGATAGATCAGATCCCAAGGACCCTGTCCTCCTCACCCTCCTAACCCTTAACTTCTCCCCCCATCCTCCTCTTCTAACACGCGGCCCCTCACCTGCCCAAGCGTCATGTTCCCATCCCAATCACAACATTCCCTTCACTTCCCCGCGTCCTCTACGCCGAGCCTCCTCAAGTCAATAAGCTCCCTTGGAGCACTCAATCCTCCTCTCTCAATGCTTCCCCACATACAACCCTTTGCGAGGACAGACCCCGCCTTCTCCTGAAAACCACTCTGCTACCATCCTCCCTATATTTCCACAGCCTCCTCCCTCCTTGTTCCTCTTTAACCCAAACGTTTTTCTCCCCTCCTTCCACCGCTTCTGTTTCCTCCACGTCCCTCGTCTCCTTATAGCACTCCTCCTCTATGGACTCCAAATTCTGCAAGCGCCCCTTGCCCCACCCCCCCCCCCCCATCCCCCAAAACAAAGAAAGAAAAAAAAAAACCTAACCAATGGCCCTCTCCCACACAAACCCATTCCCCCACCCCCTCCTTTTCACACAACTTTTGTGCCTCCCACACCCATTCAATCCTGCTTCTTCACATTTTATGAAATCATCTGCCCAACCCACGGGAACTCCAGTTCTTTTCTATTCCTTTTTCCCCTCCTACGGCCTTCATACATCCCATTGAACCATCCTAGTGCAAGTCTATGCTTCCCCTCCCTCTGGACCTCGCTGCAGCCATTTCTAAGTTTCAATTTTCAAGGGGCTTCCTTCCTCCCTGCATCATCCCCTGTGACAACTCCTTTCCAACCTCCTCCTCCTCTGAACATTCCCGTTCCCATTATGCGTCCCCCCGCTCTTCTCCTTAACCGGTGTTCCCTTCACCTTCTCCTCTAACCCCTCCATCCTTTCCCTTCACCGTTTCTTTCTCCGCGCCCCTCTTCCCTGCTGCCACCTCTCCTTGCACTCGGGTTTCTACCTCGCTTGTCTCTGAGACTACCTCCTCTCTCCCATGCTTGTCTGTTGTCGAGCTTGAAGTTTCAGGTGCTCGGACTTTTCTGCCACCACTGCCTACCCTAGACATCGAAGAACCTCAGAACATTGACAGAGCCGAACCTTTCTTCAAAGACATGCTAGAGACGATGGGATTCTCTTGCAGGTAAGGTAACTGCTTTGACCCCTCTTCAAGTGACTTCTTTGCAATGTGTGGATCTTGAGGCCCTTGGTGCCTCTAAGGGTATCTGGGACCCCTCTCTTCCTGCCCTCATTACTAGCTTTATAGATTGCTTCTCTGTCTCGGTCTCCCTCTCTCGCATCTTGGACAACTTTCCCCAGAGAGTATCTATGGTCTACAGCCCTAATAGTTCCCACCTTTGCCCTGCTTCTAGAATGAATTGAGGACCATTACCTCTTCCTCTCCTAACCCCCGAGTTCTAGAAGGGGATTTCAACACCATCCTCTGGTCCCATGAAATCAACCATCCCATTAGCATCTCAGTTAGTATGGTGAGCTTCACTGATCTCATTTCCCAAAACAGTTTGCTCGAGATTCCCCAATCGGGCTCGAGTTCCACTTGGTCGAACCATTCCTCATCCCCTATCGTGAGACCAAGCTTAACTAGTTTCAGGTTTCCTAAGATTGGGAAGACCTATTCCTTGGTATGCACTCCTTATCCTTACCCTATCCTACTTCTAACCACAAGCCCATTGTTTTCAAGACCAATCCCCCCTCCTCTAGTCCTAAGCCTTTAAGATCCAAACTTGCCTACTTTGAGGAGCCAAATTTCAACAATACCCTTCACTATAGGTGGTCCTCTTTCCAAGTATTCAGGTGGGCTGGTTTTCAATTGTAGAAGAAACTTCATCTCAAGCAACCTCAAATCTTGGAGTCGTAACATTCCTTCTAACTTCATTGTAGCCAAGCAATGCTTACCCATAGATATTCAGGCCCTTGATTCTCTTGAAGAATCTCGCCCCCTCTTTCGTAATCCTTTCAGTAGAAAAGACCTCAAACTTAACCTTTTTCTTCTCAAAAAGAAGAAATCTACAAGGCCCAATGCTCATGAGTTAATTGGCTCTAAGCAGGTGACAAAAAGCCGCCTCATTTCATAAGACCACTAGTTCTAGATGTAAAATCAACGCCATTATCCTCGTCTCCATTGAACACTTTTACTCTGATCCCACCTACATTGCCTCAGCCTTCATTTCCAACTTCCAAAACCTTTCTCTCTTCAACCTAGCCCTCGCCCCACCATGACCAACTTCTCTTGCTACTCCATCACCCCTGCTCAAGCCTCCTGGCTAGAGAGACCTTTTGAAGTTGGCAAATTTCATAAGGTTGCCACCTCCCTTAATAAGGCTCCTGAGTAGGATGGATTCCCTATTGCTCTCTTTGATAGTTTTTGGGATAGCATATCCCCCAACTTCCTCGCCTTTATTTCAAAGTTCTATCACCATGGGATTATTAGCAAGGAAATGAATGCTACATTATAGCCCCGATCCAACAAAAAGAGGGTGGTTGTGACATCAATGACTTCCCCCAATCAGCCTTCTTAATTCCTCGTATAAGATCCTTACCAAGGTCCTTGCCTCTTGTCCTATCTAAGTCCTTCAGTCTGTCATCGCTCCCTCTCAAAGTGGTTGCATCCCTATAAGGCAAATCCTTGACAATTCTCTCATTGCCCATGAACTCCATCACCGTCACTATTCACGCTCCCATGGCCTTGTCCTCAAACTCGACTAAGAAAAGGCCTATGACCGTGTTGATTCGACTGTACTTCTCTAGGTCTTGGGCCGCATGGGCTTTGGCCACAAACGGCACAAATGGCTTCACGGTTGTATCTCTTCTACCTCCTTCTCCATCCTCACCAATGGCTCCACTAGGGGACATTTCTCTACTTCACGGCGTTTGCGCCAAGGAGATCCCTTCTTTCCCTTTCTCTTTGCCATTGTCGTTGAGGTCTTCAACGAATTCCTTTGCCTCTGCACTATTGGTTGGTTGTCTAGTTTCCAATCTTCTCGATCTGGAATTACCATTTTCTCACCTCCAATATGCTGACGATACCCATATTTTCTGCAATGGCTACCCACAAAAGTGGACAACTTGTGGCTTTTCCTTCATTATTTTGAGCTTGCCACTGGTATGAATGTCAACCTCGCTAAATCCAAGCTCTCAGATGTTGATGTCCCTTCAGATACCCTTTTTGACCTTGTATCTAGATTAGGGTGTGGTTTTGAGCCCCTTCACTCCAAATACCTCAACCTCCACTATGCCTCAGTAAACTCCAGAAATCCCTCTGGAATCCTGTCATCGAGTTTCAGAGAAAATTGGCTCTCTTAAAAGGTCGTTTCCTCTCCCTTGGAGAGCACACACCCTCATCAAAGCCACTCTGTCAAACCTACCCATCTATGATAAGTCCTTGTTCCTGATGCCCTCCTTTGTCTATGAAATTCTTTCTTTAGTCTATCAACTTGTCTAACAACAAAGTTTATTTATTGGCTTGGGATAAAGTGTAGCGTCCCTAATCTGCTGGGGGCCTCAGCATCTGCAATCTCAGATCCCTGAAACTTGCTCTACTTTGTGAATGATGGTGGTGTTTTGCCAACCACCCTTAGCTCCTTTGGAGAGAGGTCCTCCTCCACAAGTACGGTGATTGACCCTCAGTG